GATGCAGGCCGGGAAGACGGGCCACAGCAGAAGTTTTACAAGCCTCAGCACAAGGGCGGGCAGGGCAAAGGAGCCCAATGGGGACGAGGTTGGAGCTCCAATCAGTGGAGCGGCTGGGGTCAGGAGAAGGAGAAGGAGAAGTTCCAGGAGCCTTCCGAGGAGGAGGAAATCAAGGAATTGGTCAAGCTGCTGACCAAAATGGTTTTCAAATTGGAGGACGAGAAAGCAGACTCCAATGAAGCACTCCAAGGTGCTCGAGCATTTGGACAAGCTCCGCCGAGCCCTGCCACAGCCCAACGTCCTTCAGAGGTTTCATTCGACACGCCCGATGGCGGACACTTACCAATCCCCGGTCCTTCCTTTTCTGATGACTGTGGGAATCCGCTCGGAGCAAGCGGAGCTGGCGTACGAGGTCCTTACAGACCTGGTGGGGTGCTCGGCACTTCGAATGATCGGGATGAGGCGCCGCCAGGAGCGCTTGGATCGCCAACCGTTGGCGAAGGTTCTCACGACTACCTTCGCGAACTCCAGCCTGTGCGACTGGGTCCGCCGCGAAACACGGGCCGTGAGGATGGAGGTCGAGAAGGAGAAGGAGAAGGAGGACGACCTCTAGATGGGTCGCGAAGGCCGGGAATGGAATTTCGTGAATGGCGCTGGGTTGAGGGAGTGTACGGTGCTAAACCTACAGCTGTGTTGCGCAATCCATCCAATGTGTGCTACATGAATGCGGTGGCGCATGGCATCTTTTGGTGTGGGCGCTGTGGTTCGGCTGTCTCGCAGGTCTATGGCCGGGCCTCTGGATGCTTCCAACTTACGAACTGGTCGGAGGTCACGAATCAGCACGATGCTGCTGAGTTCTTTGCATATGTCATGGAGTGGGCGAGGCCTGCAGCCTGGGACGGGCTCTGGCAGTCACGTGAGGACCGGGATGGAGCAGTGGTGATCCTTGACCGAGGCTCCACTTTTCAGCCGGTTCCAGTTCCCTTGGCTGGGGACTCACTTCAGTCGTGTTGGGATGCTTGGGAGCGACAGCCTGCTATCCATGCTTTGTGGAGTTCGGGAGGTCTGTTGCTTATGCAACTGGGGCGGTACAGAGAGGCGGGCGACAGCATTCAAAAGGATACCAGAGCCCTGTGTATTGAGCCAGGTCAAACCGTGGCTGTACCTTTCTTCGACCACGACGAGGGCACGCTTACGTGCCACATGCACAGCTTCCGAGTCATGTTTGTGCTCCTTCACTTGGGGCCCACTGTGACGTCAGGACACTACAAGGCTGCGCTGAGCCTTCCTCCGAGCCTTAGTAGGACGTCGCAGTGGAAGTTCGTGATATGTGACGATAATGCCCCGCCTAAGCGATGTAATGCCCGAGACCTGCACGACCTCCACCATAATTCCTACTTAGTTGGGTTGCTTAAGCTCTGATGTCCCTAATTTGTTGCCAAGCTGGTCCACACGGGACCATGTGTGCGCGGGAGCGTGCTTGCTTAGCGTCTTATACGCGGAGCACGCTACCGTTCAGCTACGAAGCGCATAATTCCTCAGCATGGGCGGAGATAACTGTCTCGTTGAGTTTTTCTGCACTGCGCTGACGTGCATGGCATTTCGCATTTCACGTTCTCTCATTCCGCACTTTTTCGTTTTTCTTCTCAGAGCTTGCATTGGTTGGGGGCACGCTTGCCTGCATGGCGGTTCGCCGCGGGGCAAGCAGCAATGGGACTCGGTGCACGAGATCCATACAGGATTTGAGCGAAGTCCTGGACTATGATGATGTGATCACTAATTGGACGGAGCATGTTCATGGAGCCTCTCCACGTTTCCTTTCGGCTGCTGGCTTTCCGTGTGAGCATCCGGCGCCGAGCTTTCCAGTGGTGCTGAGTGTGGATGTCATTTCGCGATTCCGGCCTCCAGATTCTGCAGTTGAGCAATATGCTAGAAACTGTTTGTGTAAGGGGGATGCAACCTTTGCTGATTTTGCCCATATTGTGTCGCTGCTCCAAGAATGTAAGTTAACCAGCAAGAGAGCCAGAGAAAGTGCTGCTGAGCCTGGGCGAGTTTCGCTTGCATTTCAGACTGGTGCCTGGGTCTTTGGTGGCGAGGCGGGGGTGCTTACCAACACGCATGTGTACCCCTGGCTATCTCATCTGCTTGCTGCGATTGTGACGATGCATAGTCCTGGCCACTACTTCAGCTCGGTGGTCATCAGCCATAACGTTTGCTCTCCTGTTCACAAGGACTCCAACAACCATCACCGTGTTCCGAGCCTGATCATTCCTGCCTCGACCTTTTGTGACGGCGGGCTCTGGATGCCTGAGAAGGGTGGACAGGTGATCAAGGAGGGACTTGCCGGCACGATTCGGCCGGTGCAATGGCCTTGTCTTCTCTTCAATGCCCGAGAGGCGCACGCCACTAAGCAGTGGACTGGGGACCGTACTGTCATTCTGGTGTATCACATTCGTGATGGCTGGAGAGTGAAAGATGCTGATGCAGAGCTGCTTACTGGCTTGGGATTCCAGTTCTGGACGGGCGATGCTATCAATGATCCTTACATTGTGACATGTCTTTGGAGTAGAGCAAAACTGTTGCCCAAAAAGGGCTTCACTTCCATTTCTTTTAGTATCGTGGAATGCTCAATGCATTTGTGACTTCGGTCGCCGGGCAATGGCCTGCCACTACTCGCATAGTGTCTTCGGATGCTGCGTCGTCAAAGTCAAAGTATCCGTAATATTCATACCTAAATCTTTATCTACATGTATATACCGATGCCTGTAGTGAAATCAATATCTGTTTCTGCATCTATATCTATATCTGTACGTATCCATTTTAGTATCTTTATTTGGATGTTTCTGTTTATCCTGTTCCATGTGCATGTCTTTATTTATGTCTATATCTATACCCATGTCCATATCCATATCTATATCCATATCTGTATCTGTTTCTGTTTTCAGAATAGACTCCCTATTTCTATCTCCATCTCTATACGCTCACTTTTTCGACATCCTCTAATTACCCTGTACTTTGATGAATTTATACATACATGCACATAAACAGATTTTTTGTACGTGTAGAGCAGCGGGATACTTGCATTGGAAGGCGCGGGAGACGATGCCGGTGGTCGAGTGCCAAGCTCAGTATTTCGATCCAACTCCTGCAAGGTCCCAGGGTGGGTTTGTCGATTTGATTGGGCTTGGTTAAGGCTTTTGCTTTGATATGGTTTGTTGGCTTCTGCTGGTCGGAGCTTTGAAAAAATTCGATCAGATTTATTCACGAACTCCTTGGTGCAAATTTGCAGAACCCGTCTCACTGGTCGCCGTGAGCCCTAATCCGTGAACCTCCGGGTGCACCAGCAAGAGTGGGTTCAAAATCAGAGATCGACGAAGTGAATGCTCACCGCCGAGGAGCTGTTCCGGGCCGCCCCCAGCGCCGCCTCCAGCGCACCCAGCACCCCTGGCCCATGCTTCTTGGCAGCAGGTGAGACCCCTCTTCTTTCTTGGTCTCTCCTTTTTGGCATCTTTCTAGCTGTCAGTTCATGTTTGCATGCGTGCCGGCCTGTCTCTTTGCCTGTCTGCCGGTCCCTGCTGTCTGTCTCACCATCCGTGGTTTGTCTGTCAATGCATCCATAAATCTGTCGATTTGCACTAGGCGCGCACACAGATGCTGTCACATGTCATAAGGAAAAGTCGTCCAGAGCAATCACCGTCAACATCGACTTCTCGAGCAGTTCATGGGGTTGCACAGGTGTGCATGATGATATGCCTAGGACCTAGGAGATTCAAACAAGTTTCAAGCTAGCACTTCGCGAAATACTGTCGCCGATTTCAACACCTGCAAAACGGCATCCGTAGTTGCTGGAGGTCCAGGTTTTGAGGTGGATTTCGGAGTGTTTCGTGGCCGCCAGCCTTTTCAAACGCAGCAACCTCCGACATTCTCCACACGTCTCTGATTATGCTGTGCTTCGCTGTATTGTTACTGACTGAACGGAGGAGCTCGCATATGGTCTTTGAGGAGATACCGGACCTTGTTTGCTGACTGAGATGTTGGTTTCAATGCTTTCCAATTATAGAAAATATTCTGTTTGATGTATGACCAGCTTTAGAGAGCCTTGATCACCTACTCGTCTTACGAAGAACTGAGAGCCGGTACGGAGCTCTCTTCTTGGAAGGTGGAGGTTCTTCTTTCACATCTCAACCCAGCCAGGAAAGTAGATGTCAGTTTGTGTAGCTATTAGGGCAGACATAGTGGGCGCCCATCGAGGCAGTTGAGGGAGCACTTTCGAGTGTCCGGCTCGTTTGGTAGAACATAAGGCTCCGGATATTCAGTAATGATGTCCCCTTGCAGTCCACATGTTGCCCGAGCTAATTCAGCCCCCCATGTTAGGTTTTTCCGGCGCGGCCAACCCCGCCGGCACCCGTTACCGAAGCGGAGACGCAAGAAGCGCGGGAGACACGGACACGGGAGGCTTCTGCAAGGGTTCCATCGTTGCTGCACGTTCACAGGGTAAAGGGGTTTTTGGCTTTTGGGAGGTGCTATGCGATTGCAGGTGTAGCAGGGCAGCTGTGCTTCGTGTCATCCCTGAATGGTGGTCCTGGCAGGCGGCTGCGGTAAGTTGGGACGACAAAGCAGTCGGCCGAGTCGAGAGCTGGTTCTATTTTCCAGCAAGTCCACCGCTGGTTCTGAGGGGTTCGAGGGATTGTTCAGGTGGGGGACCGACAGATAGTTTCACGGCGACGACAGCATCTTGTTTCGTGAGAGCTTTACCGTTTGACGGGTGGTCAGAGGTAAGCAGAGCTCCGCCTGAGGGAGATGCTTTGCTGGGTCAACCGAGCGCAACTTGAAATCGCCGCACTCCATCAAGATGATTATTTAGCATAGAGGAATCCATTGTCTTCCCGGGTTTGAGCGTGTTGTGAACCAGAAGTTGTAGCACAACACAGCCGGGATCGCATCCTCATCAGGCCGAGACCAACTGAAGAGCATTTGGCTTCTTTTTAAAAGTTGGAGCCATGGATATGGAGGCACACACGCTCGCAGACTCACTCAAGCTCTTGCCAACATTTTCGCCGCCACCTGGTCAAGGTTAGGCGATTTTCCAGTCTTTGCCGGTTTATGCTCGGATGTGGTGAGGTGAGCATCTTTGTCCTCCAAGGAAGCTTGCTAAGCACACTGCATCAGCGAAGATCGAGGCCATAACGAGTGAGGAAGCTCGCCCGCAAGCAGTACAGGCTTGCAATTCCCTCATGCCGCAACAGGGTTCCCAAGAGAGAGGAGACCTGAGCGAGACGCTCTTGCCTGCAGGAAACCAACGATGACTGCGCAGGTCACTGGAAGCTGCCCCAAGTACCACAGGCTCGGCACTCGGCATCCAAGCTAAGATCCTTTTCTATGTAGAGACAGGTCTTGGATATGCCCTGGTTTCCCCTCAGGGGCAGTCAGAGGAAGAGGCTGCGGATGAGGAGCCAATCTCCAAGCCTTGCAAGCGTGGTGATGGAGTATATGGAGTACCTCAGGTTTCGGAAGTGAGAGTTACAGGAAACAGCAGTTGGGGTTAGGAGTTTGGGTTTTGGGCATGGCATAGCATGTTCTAGCATTTGGCCCAGCTTTTGAACTGATTCGTCAAGGTGCGGGAAGGTTCTGGAGGCAATGGTCAGGATGCTGAGGTGTCAACCAGATGCAACTGGTTCAACGAGACGTATCATGCTGCTCTAGATGTTAGAGCTCTTCCTTCGGATCTCAATTCGATTTGTGGTGGAAAATTTGATGGCCCAGCCGCCAGTGAGAGTAATAGAAACTGCTACTTTATTTTCCTACGGTGTTGCACCGGCTTCTTGAGCAGTGCTCGGTCCGATAGCCTTAAGTTTCTGTACAGCTTACCAGTGCGTGGCAGTTAAAGCTGGGTTTTGGGACGGGTTGGGTGTGGACTCCGTGCCCATACAGACCTAGTGATCGTAAAGTCGTGTAAACAGTACAGAGAACGTGCTGACTTTTCCTGAGGTTGGCCGGTATTGCAGACCAGTTCCCATGGCTCTGTCAACAGAATTAGGGAATTGAGCCTTGTTTTTGAACTCGTATGGCAGCGTGGCCAGGAGGATCAGAGCCTCGACATCTGGATTGGAGATCCAGGAAACACCCTCGAAACTGTGCCGAAGGAGTACAAGGATCCCTTCCACTGAAGAACTGCGGATATTTGATCCATTACCTGAATGCTTGTCGAAGTATGGGCTGTCCATTCAGCTTGCATCAACTCGATTGTTAGGGTGGACATGTGAGCCCTGCCGGTGCTTGGTGCTGCACGTGTGACATGTGTCTCTACGGGAATGTTTCGGTCCTCTGATGCCTTCCTTGATTAGCTGCATATCCGTATAGGTCGGTCTGAGTCGTTCTGAAATGATGTAATGTACTACAGTTTACCTTGCTGCACCGTAATGCATTATGATGTAGTGTACTGTAAGGTATTGTGATGTACTGCTTTATACTGTCATATCTTATAATATACTGTACGGTACGCATGCATGGAAGCATGCATGTCGGTATATAGGTATGTATGTATGTATGTACGTACGTATGTACGTATGCATGTATGCATGTATGTATGTATGTATGCATGAGTGCTTTTTTGGAGAGATCTTGGTCAAATGGGGCGATGTGTCATCGCCACACCCGTCGCAGGTAAGAAGGCAGCAGAGACAGGAAATGAAAGAGGAGATGAAGCTTGGCAGGAGTATTGAAAGGATTGGTATCTTCGTGGTCATGCTCCAAGGTACGAAGTAGCAGCCGATCCAACGATTGATTCGGGGGCTGAAACTTCAAGTTGTGGGTCTAAAAGCAATGTGGCATCCTCAACATGTCCCCTTAGTTCTTCCAGGGCCAGACGTATGTCATGGACGTTTTCTGCCATGGATGTTGAAAGGGCCACAGGCTTCGTTCACCCCTGAACCCCAATATCCGACCTCCATGCCAAGCCCTCTCACGGTGTCCTGCTGGTCAAGCCCAGGAACCAAGTTCTCAACAACTGGCTCAGGAAGCATGGCTTTTCCAGTGCCTTGGTGTCAGGATGTTGCCAAGTAGGGACGCTGAACCTTATCTGAGCAGCGGCTCCCTCTCACATGTCAACACATGTAAGGTGTACACATGCAGTCAAATTCAGAAGATTCGAAACGGATGCCACAACAACAATCACGAAGAGTCGAACTCGTCGTCGTTGCGCCCTCGCAGTCTTTGCAGGCAACATGTAAAAGCACCAGCAGTAAGCAAACGTAAGCAGGAGTAAGAGCACAGGAGCTAAGCTTGCACCCGGGAGCAAGAACAAGGTCGATATGGACCACAAGGGCAACGGCGGTTCTTTCTTATGAGTTTGCACAGCCGCCTACAGTGGAAGCTTGTCAACAGCAAGCAGCATTACTGGTTGTCATCGTTTGCACACGAAGAACCGGGGCAGTACAATGCAACAGTACACAAACCCAGCATCGAGTACACAGTTGTCATCATCATCAGCATCATCAGCAGCATCATCATCACTATCATCACATTCGTCGCCATCATCATCGCCATCACCACTATCATCACTATCATCACTATCGTCGTCATCATCACCATCATCTTCATCCTCGCACAAAACAGCCATCGAAAAACGCACCCAGAAGCAACGAACAGTGGCATTACAGTGGACACAGGCGTCGTAGCTCATGTCCAGCAAACAGCACCCTGATGTTGCTCAGGAGATGTCACTGAGCCAAGAACACCAAAAGGCCGTTGTGTCTGTTTGGAGTCGGAGTAGATGGGACTACACGTGCATGAGTGTCGATCATGATGACCACTGCTGCTACACGACTACTCAGACAACTCTTGCGGTGACTGCTGTTGCTGCTGCTCTTATGCATGGTACCACCGCTCCTCTTCGTCCTGATACTCCCACCAGCCGCAGTAGTACTAACAGGACTAATAGGACCAGTAGGACTAGCAGGACCAGTAGTGGTAGTAGTCGTCGTCCTAGCACGCAGTCGTAGTGGTCGTCGTGGTCGCAGTCGCTGTCGTCGTCGTAGTAGCAGTGCTGGTAGTAGCAAGTCGCAGTAGCAGTAGCAGTCAGTAGCAGTAGCGGCAGCAGTAGCAGTAGGAGAAGGAGTGTTCCAATTAACAAGCCGGCGTTCCACTCGTCGCTGAGAGGGGCTATCGGCCCGGGCGAGTTTGGTCCCTTCTGCATGTTTTTGTGTTAACGAAAGACGCGCCCTTTACAAAGCCACGTAAGGACGCCTGTGGACGTTCACGCCACGAGAGAGAGAGAGAGAGGAGTAGGCGAAGGAGGAGTAGGACTAGGAGTAGGAGTAGGTCGAGGAGGAGTAGTAGTAGTGGTATCTTTGCGCAGTTGCTTGTCGCTCCAGGGTGGCTGGGGTCTCTCCCGTTGCAGCTTCAATCCCGCAAGCACGGTGAACCAAAGACCAATTCGGAGGCTGTCTCTTCTGGAAGGAAGAGACATTCTGGCCCATCCATGTTGCTGCCAGACTGGGGGATGCCGTCGCTGGGCCTGGCTTTTGAGTTTGCTGTTGCTTAGGGGAGAAGGAGAGCGACAGAGGGAAAACAGAGTCTAACGCTCTCACATGCAAGCTCAGGAAATTGTTCGTTTGTTGCTGGCTGCTGGAGCGGAGCCGAAGCAGCGCACATCGAAAGGACGTACGGCTACAGACCTAGTGCCTGTGGTGAAAGTTTGTTAGAGCCTCAGGGTCGGCATTCGACTCTGGTGATGGGAACTCTGTCGTACAGATGTGGTCACTCGAAAGTCGTGAGCAAGACATGTCTGCCTGGGTAGTAGTGAGCCTTCTCTTCACTTACAGTTCGACAAACCGTCACTTTTGCCAGATCTTCAGCATGACGCTTGAGTTTCGATGCTACTACTGACGGTTGCTTTTTCTGTAAATGTGGTTGTGGCCCAGTTGTTTCCTGCAATGTGATGACCGAGAGTACAGCCATTGCTGTAGTACTGTTGTCACTAGTACTACTGGCCATTACTGTGATCCCTGCTGTTGCCATTCCCACTCATCACTACGGTGATCTCTCTGACTAACACCATTGCCACTGCTTTTACTATTGCTCCCCGAGCTATCTTATGCTGATAACTTTTGTTGTGATCGCTGATGCTCGTAGTTTGCTGTTCTTGTATTGACAGCGACTTTAGCACCACACACTGCAAACCCAAGCCCGCTGCCAGGTACGAATGGCACAGAGATTTTTGCATTAGTGGTGTCAGAGTCGTACGAGTAATGATGATTGTCATAAAAGGAAGAGCAGCACCGGGAACAGTGGCAACACTTGTACAAGTAGTCTCCGCATCAGAACGATACTGATGCCACCGGAGATAGCAGTAGCAACAACAAGACAGCCTTGCTAGTGATGTAAAGGTTCGTCGCACGAAGAGCACCGGAAACAGAGACACGTACTGCGACTATCACTTTTATCTTAGCCCTTGTCATATTGCTCTTCGGAGCATTTTGATGCTACTAACTGTGTTGACAGTCGTGAGTAGCCATACAAGCATTACACGACTAATAACTGACGAATAGCGGGCGATTCCAGTATAGGTGACGGTCATCTTCATAGTGATAGTAGCATTGCAAGTCAGCAGTAGGAGAACACTCAATCACCAAATTGAGCTGGCCAGACCAGTGTCCATTGCTGCTTTCCTGCTTGAAACATGGCTGTTGTCACAGTTCTTGTCGTTTTCCTTGTTATTATGCTTGTTCCTCTGTCTTTCTTTTGCGGACAGCGACAACCCGTTTGAGAATACAGCCCCAAACTCGAGGCGCTCGAGGCGGATTTCTTCGGTTCGCACCGGGCAGTGCCCCGCCAAGTCGGGGTTGTGGTCGGAGGTCAAAAGGAGGAAGAGGAGAGAGACAGCGTAAGACAGCATGGGTTTTAGAACAGGAATCCAGGAAGCAACGAGCAACAAGTCAATACTGCAGTAGCAGAGACACTCGGAACAGTATGACCAGCATTTCTGGCAGGCAGAGTATCGCCGGTATTGAAAGTAAACCCAGTTCTAGTAGGCCGACAAGCTTCGACTAAGAAGCCGAATCGGGGCGGAGTTTGTCATAGATATCCGTGTTGACGCAGAGTTGCGGACGTACGTGCTTCGATGCTAAGAGTTGCCTTTGGTGGGGTGGAGGGTTTGGGAATTGACGTTGCAGGAGCACTGGTAGCTCACTGGATGCAGGCGATATTCTTGGTCTTGGATTCACTTGTCTAGTGTTGGGCGGGCAGCCGCTTTCGTGCGATGCGATGTTCACATCTTATCCAGAAAAAAGCAGCACTGTTTTGGCTATCCAAGTCTTGCATCAGCTCATGCTGTCCCGAAAGCCCTAGAGCCAAGGTCTTTCAGACCATGGAGCTGCAAGTGAAGCTTTGCTGGAGACACGAGATGGGTGGTTCTCTGTTCTGTATCTGCAAACGATCATCCTTTCCAACATGCATCCTGTTTTCACTTCTCTTGCTGTCGTCCTTCGTGCTGCTCGTGTATCTGCGGTTCTTATTCCAGTTCTCTGTTCTTGGAGCAAGCGGTGTTCTTATCTTCTTTTGTGTCTTGGATGTTTAGTTTAATCTTTTGGTATTCTTAGTTTCCTTGCCATGTTCGTCATCATCGCTTGCATTGTCATTCTTACCCTAAAGCCCGTCTACTCTTTTCTTTGCTACGACGATGGTCTTTTGCGTTGGCTTGTTGCCACTAGTGTCGGCAGATACTCTGTCTCCTGGTGAATTCGTAGGTTTGTGGAGACTTCGCGAGCCCTTGTTGTTATCATCGTGCTAGTACAGGGCTGCTCTTGTACATGGCATTCCCGTTACGGTACAATCATCACAAAGCCGGTTGCCACGATGGTCTCAACGGTTCTCGTTGCATGGCTGGCTGTGTTGCCTGCGCCATTTGTTCGTGTATCCCCGCCATCACCAAACACCTGAACCCTGAGCCCATGAACCTTCATCTTCTTCCTTGGCTTCAAATCGCCTGTAAGCTTTCGATGACTCAGGAAAACCATGGGCCTCCGGGAGGCAATCCGGCAGATGGAGGGCTGAGTAGTGGCCCAGTGGCCCGCATGGTTTTCCTTCTCCCATCTTCTCCCGAAGTGGAAGTGGCTGTTTCTGCCGGGAATGGGTGTCTTTAAGGGATCCAAGTCAGTGGGAGATGGAGAGCGGCCGCCTTGAACAGGATTTGCACAGAGAGTCTCGCAAGTTGCTGCTCCCTACATGCACTGCCTCGGATCTATGCCCTTCTCGTGCAGCCTTCTTTACCTTCGCGCCGTCTGGGAGATGGGGCGGCAAGACTTTGACACTCCGTCTTGGCTTCGCAGACACAACATCTTGGACTTTAAGACTTTTCATCAGCAAAAGCTTCTGAAAAAGGAGTGCTGGCTGATTGTTAGACTTTTTATTTAGAGACGTGCGCGAATGCAGGAGAACCTTCATGAAAGCTGCAGGAACCTGCCGCCAATGAGACACTGGCATTCCGGGCCTCAAACTTAACACATTCTCGCCCTAGGCTGCAGCTTTCGAAGCCTCATGCAGCCGTTTCTTTGAATTGATTCTCCGATGCAATGGGTCAACCAGCTTTCAGATGTACAGTAGCAAACTTTCATCTGCAGTTAGAAACTTTGTTCCTGGCTTCTGTATTCTTTCACGCTCGGCTGGGCCCTTGCGCGGCAGCGCTGCGAAAGCAGCCGGCAACACCAATTATTTTCCTGTCGGTCACCTGAATGCATCTTGTTTGGATTTGTCAACAACTTAAGAGTGGAGGGACTGCAAAAAGCGGCTTGTTTTCGGCTCAGAAGCATTTGGTTTTAAGCCGCATTTCCTTGAACAACGGGTTCTTACATGTTTCAGCAACTGCATGCCGCCACTCTGACTTAGCTCCCTTGAATTTGGCACGCGAGACCGCGACACGTGCACTGCTCAGGGCCGTCAAGCCTCAACGCCGGCCCGGCCCCTCAGCCCTCGACGCCCCCTCAGCCCTCAACGCCCCCTCAGCCGTCGACAGTAAATGCCCAAGGGTATCAAGACTTGGAATGTTCGCCGGGTATAGAAAGTTGCTCGACATTGCACGAAGCTGGCGTCAGAACCCGAGCTTTCGAAACCGGTAGTGCGAGGGAGTGGTTTTGACGCATTCATCTTGCTGGTCTCGAGGCTGTGGACATGCACGGTGATGTACTCTGATTAAGGGCAGGGCTTGCTTGTTGTGTTACGCGCAACAAGCTGCTGTTTTTGCAAAACAGGCTTCCGGGTCTCTTAGTGTCTCAGTACTCATGCAGCAGCCGGGTTTATGGTCTTGGTAATGGCTTCGTGGGCACCTGCAAGATGCACTCAAAGAGAGAGCCACACGTCACGCAGTAAAGCCATCGGCCAGAGCAGACTGCGTCTTTCCCGTCCTGCGTGATATCAGCAAGTCCTGGACTTCATATTGTAATTTCTCCAGCTCCAGACAACGTGCATAAATCAGGGCCGCATTGTGATCTAAGCCGACCTGGCGCTCAGTCCAAGGGCTTCGCATGTCGGAGAACCGGTGGAGCAGAGCAGAGCCTGCTATCCGTCCGGCCTGGTTATCGTGCCCGCAGCAGCACAGCGCCTTTAAACGCAAGACCCTTATCCACCATCTTCGGATGTGTGGTCGCGGCGGAACAAAGGTTGCCCTGCCGGGACTGTCTTGGCGGGGGTTCGGTTTGATAGCATTTCCAGAAGTTGAGGATGTGGGAGCCAAGTCCAGCGCAGATTTCTTCACCGCCGTTCTCTTTATGTTTGTACCTCGTAGAACCTGGTCCCTACGAGCCAAAAAGGAGTCACCGTGAAGGTCGCTCCTCAAGGTTCCGTATAATGCTCCTCCCAAGACGAGGGTGACAGTGTCTCATCTAAGAGTTTAACATCATCAAACCTGATCATTCTGCAGCCCCTCAGCCCAGCGCGGCAGCTTCGAGGCTGTCTCCGTGATCGTTGACAATATCCCTCGCTGCGTCAGCCAGTTGCAGTTCCTGGAAGAGGCTTGCTTTTAACCCCGAGCCCTAGAAATCAGAACTTAGCCCCTCTGCCCGGTGAGGTTTTCCGAAACCATCCTTAGTACCCCCATTGACAATGTTTGACAATGCAGAGCCTGGAGAGCCCAGGGTTCCACTAGCAAGCGCACCCACGAAGAGCTACTTGAGAACCGTCTTTCGAAGCGGCAGGAAGCTCTCCTCTCCCATCCGTAGCTCAGACCGCTTAAATTAAAGTCACAACTCCACAACATGTCCCCCTCTCCCCAAAGCCGCTATCGGCCTGATGCGCATGCGTTTGCAAGCTAGACTCCTCCCTTCTTCAAGGGACTTGCACTTTGTTGATACAGAATTCCCACAATCTGACGTTCCGGGGCAATGGTTTTGAGTTGCCTCGTAAGTGGAATGTCATGCGCCTAATGTGGACACACGACTAGCTGCTCACCAAACTTGGGGGCCCCTGTGACACGTGAGAAACCGAAGACTTATTTGCAAGAAGAAGACGTGGAGGTTGAGCCAGAGCCCAAAGCAGTAGCGTCAAGCTTCGGAAACAAACAGGGCCCAGGTGTTATGCATTCGAGAAACCACACCAAAGCTCAGGAGGTTGCCCGAACCCATAGCGAAGCCCAAGTCCCAAGAGGTGCAGAAGAGAGGCTTCACTCGGAAGTTCGTCCGAGCCCCGCTTGTCTTTCGAATTGTGAGGGTTTCGCTGCCGCGGGATCTGGAGTAAACCCGGGCACAGCTTCCGCCTGCTCGTTGAGTTTTCTCATGCCCGAGTCGTGGGTAGTGCTTCAGAGTGCAGCATATGGCAGAGAGGGTGTAGGGAGGTTTAACAATTGGAAATTCAGGGGCTATACAAGTACACAGGTGCTGCTGTGCTGCCCAGGTTGGGGTGTTTTGGCTGTTTCATGCTTACCTGCCCTTGGCCATGTATCCCTGGACTCTTAATGTCTCACTGCATCCCTCCGTGTTCGTCTTGTGCATTTTCAGACAATGCGTTCATGGCAGGTTGTGAGCACACGGGGGCGTTCTTGTGGAACAACCAATGGCTTGTGCGTTCGATCGGAGTGCGTTCACTTCAGAATTCAGTCATTTTCGACATCGCGCTCCAATTCATTTGGACGATGGGTTTGGTGTCGTTCAGCTGCACAGGACTTCTTGTACCTGCCCAATGACCCAGCAGAGGGTGTCAACGAAGGCGGACTGGCTGGCGGCAGACAGCTTTGCGTGAGAGGTTTTGCAGGCACAGTTGGAGACTCCTCAAGTCTATCGATGTCATGTACGAAACCGAGGTTGCACGTGTCTGCCCTGTGTACTCGAGAAGGCTAAAGGCTTACGTGTTCCTTCCGGCTCTTATCATGCTGAGATCTCAGATCGACATGCATGCATACATATGTACATATATACATACATACGTATGTACGTAAATACATGCTCCTGTGTACAGGTATGCATCCATGCCGGGGTTCTAAAAGTAAAGTGGAAGCACTCCCCACACCCACAGCAAAGACCTCACGGCCTATTCTGAGGGGCAAAAACAAAAACTTCTGTCTTTTAAGTTTTTGTTGTTGCCACCCCCCACCCCCACCCCCCCCCCCCCGCGGCATCTAAGACACCATAGAAGCCATGGCTTTGGTCCTCGACCCACAGAACCTGTATTGAAAGTCCATCACATCACAAAGCCTGCTCGATATCCCAGACCAGTCTTCCATAACACAACTTCACGTCTGAAACTTGGCTCCTACATAAGATCTTGAATTCAACGTGCGATGTAAGAATATTACGAATCACCAAAACTCATCCAAAATACGACTCTCGCAAATGCACACCGCCCTCACGTCCTATTCTGAAGAAAAAGCACCCTGCAGGACCCACAACGTGTTTTTGTTGCTGTTGAGCTGCTACTGCTGCTGCTGTGGGCAGTAGTGGTGGGGGGCGGGTGTTAGTTTGATTTCTGCTGTGGCTGCGATAAAGGTGTGTGTGTGTGTGTGTGTGTGTGTGTGTGTGTTTTCAACTATTTTTTCAGTTACTCACGGAGAACATTGTTTTGCCATTGCTGCGGGTTTGCGTGCTCAAGTGTGTTTTTGTTGCTGTCGCTTCGGAGGGGGTTTCGCTCAGGAACCCGCAGCAACGGCAAACAAGCACAAACAGCACACACAAACACTCTACCTTCGTGTCGTCTTGTCTTCTCGGCATCTCCGGTCATGCAGTGAGTCTATGTATTCTGTCACAATTTGTTACTTCTGCTTCTTGGTATACATTTGTATATGTATATGTATACGCATGTATGCATGTATATATATATATATATATATATATATATACACACGTATGTACATAGGCATGTATGTATGACATGTATGTATGTATGTACGTATGTATGTATCTATGTACGTATGTGCATGCATGCATGGATGTATGTATGTCTGTATATACAGACTCACACACATACATATATACATATGTATGTATACAAATTTGTATGTATATATCTATACACATAGATTATTTATACACGTACCCACACCCACACCCACTCCCACACTCACACCCACAGTCACAGCCACACCCACACCCACACTCACACCCGCACGCACACGCACACGCACACGCCCACACCCACGCCCACGCCCACGCGGACACTGATGGATTCGGCAGAAGAAAAGAGAAGAGGAGAGATTCTCCTTGTAATTGGCAACCTAAATGGGCACCAGATACCTACAAAACCGCTGGTACAGCCAAGCCCACCCTGTCAAAATGACGGGATGGGGCCGCTCCCAGGAGCGGGGGCTAGGGACTGCCTGCCCCCCCCACACCCCAGAGCAAAGCAAAACAAAGCAAAGGTCAGGAGAAAAGAATATTGTTGTATGTTGTTGTCTACTCAGGACACCACCCTGTCCAGACACTATTCTTGGCACCTAAAGGGGCGGCCTTGCAGGCAAGTGCCACGCTGCCCTGCAGTCATGTGCCCGACTGTTTGGATTTGTTGATGCTTGAAAAGAGAAATCGAAGGAGTGACCCTCTGCTCCCATGCGGTTCGCTCTCTCTCCCTCTCTC